GAGTAGTATCGCCTGAAGATCGCTTTGAAAGCGTGAAACACTGTGTAGCGATTAATAAAATTTTAAGATCATAATTAGTATATTTTGCTCTATCAATTAAATTTGTTATTGAGCACTCTTTTTGTACAACGGACAACGATTTATTATATATATATATATATATATATATATATATATATATATATATATATATATATATATATATATATACAGAGAATTATATAAAAATTTATAGTTATTGACTAATGTATAAAGTAACTGCAGTCTGACTTGAATTTACGTAATGAGTTAGACTATCTCAGCTCAACCGGAAGGGAGTTCCACAGCACAGAACGACTATAGCTAAAACTATTTTTCGGGCAATTTGTGCGTGGTTGAGGTAAAGCTAATTTTCTACTGGTGTCTCTCAATGTATAATTTGTTACGCTACTTCGATCAACAAGCATTTCAGATAGGTAGTCTGGCACAAAACCATTCAGAGATTTATAGACCATTATAGCTTTGGCAATTTTTCACTGAGATTCAAGGTTTTCCAGCTCAGTTTTTCAATTAGGTATTCAGCATTTGTACCACAATTATAGATGAAGTAAGTACTCTAGCGGCTCCATTTTGGAGTTTTTGGAGTTTATTCGCAAGAGTGCTGCCGCAACTATCCCAAACAACGCAACAGTAATCGAAATAGGGTTGAACTAAGCAATTGTAAATAAGTTGCATTGTGGAAGGTGGGACAAATGGCCTTATACGATTTAATGCCTCTATGCCAGAGGCGACTTTTTTGCATAATTTCTCGATATGAACATTCCAAGTCAAGTTCTCGTCTATATGTACACCAAGTGACTTTGTGCGAGAGACTTGTTTAATTGGAACGTCATTTATTGTCAGTGAAGGACTATAGAGTTGAAAGTACTAATCTTTTGACGAGAGCCATGGAATTAGCATAAATTCTGTTTTATATTGGTTTAAAGTAAGTCTATTAGCTGCTAACCACTCACTGACTTTAGCAAGATCTTCGTTGAAGTGATGATCAATGTCATCAATATCGTTACTTGCGTAAGTCTAATGAGTGTCGTCTGCATACATGCGTGCACGTGAGTGAGAAAGGCAATTCCGGAGATCATTGATATATACTGTAGATTAAGAATAAAAGTGGCCCCAGAATAGTTCCCTGGGGAACTCCGCAACGGAGTAAACGATTTGTCGAAAACGAAACATTTTTGTTTCCGTTCACTGAGATATGATCTGAACCAATTTCCAGCAACACCATTGATGCCGTATGAATTTAGTTTACCTAAGAGAATCTCGTGGTCTACGGTATCAAACGCCTTCTTGAGGTCAAGAAACAGGACAGCATTTATAATTACGCTTCCATGATCGATATTGTAAGCCCAATCGTTAGTGGCCTCAAGAAGGGTGGTAACAGTAGAATGTAGACCACGAAATACCGACTGACAATTAGTTAACAGACTATTTTCAAATAAAAATAAATACAGCTGATCATAGATTGTCCTTTCGAAAACCTTAGCCACTACTGAGACAATGGAAATCGGACGATAATTGTCAGGGCAATTACGTTTCCCTTGTTTGTGTATTGGGACAACTTTTGCGTGTTTCAACTCATCTTGGAATATTTCTGAGACAATTGATCGATTAAAAATGTAGCTAAGAGATTCCGCTATTAAAATCAGGGCACTCTCGAATTAGTCGAGACGAAATTTTGTCCAAACCAATAGCTGTTGACCTACTTAGCTTGGACAACAGGACGAAAACTGCAGAGAAATTAGTTTCTTTTAATTGAAAAGGGATGTTGTTATTTTGAGTAGGCAAAGCTGCAAGCTTCGGACCAATGTTAGAGAAGTGTTCATTAAATGCATCAGCAATTTTATTGGAATCGTTAATCAAATTATCATTCAAATCAACTTCGTGAATATGCGAGCTTTTTCGATTTTTAGATGTGAGATCATTAATAATATTCCAGGTCTTTTTCGAGTTGCATTTATTTAAAAAAACGCACGTTTAAAATAGTTTTCCTTCGCCAGGACAATATTTTGATTTACGGAATTTCGCATCTTCTTAAAAATATGCTAATCTAAAGGATCATTAGACCGGATTGCCTTGATTTTAAGAATATCTCTTTTGTGCATTTCACCTCTCAAGTGAGACGAATTCCAAGGCGCTTTAGAGGCCTTGACACGCTTTGTGCACAGAGGAGCATGTTTTTCTACAAAATTAAATGTGTTTTTCCAAGTATGCCACCATAGTTAATAGAGGAGATGGTTTGGAAGCTCGTTAGCATTACAATAAAATCACAATAAACCTCATTATCTATGTTGTTCAGGTTTATGCGAAAATGTGGTCTTTCATCGTCACGTGCGTATTGTATTTTTCTCAAGTCAACCAATAGGAATGTTCAAAATGTCCTATTGTTAAAGTCATGGATGAGCAATTGGACAAAACCGTTGCTATTGGCTGGTTGAGCAAAAATACAATATGCACGTGACGATGAAAGACCACATTTTTGCATAAACCTGAACAAAAACATAGATAGCGAGGTTTATTGTAATGCTAATGAGTTTCCAAACCATCCCCTCTATTAACTATGATGCCACATATCATTAGGATTCTTAAATTGATGGATAAATCCCAGTTTTGCTGACTAATATCATTGCAAAATTTAGCAGAATCGAAGTTTTTAAACTTTCTATAGCTTACTGTAGTATGTCCTCTTGTGGGCATTCTAACGGAAAGTTTTCTAAAAGCATAAACAAGACTGTGATCGCTTATACTAATGTGAGAGACACCAGAGCAAACCACTCTATCAGGAACGTTTGTAAAAATGTGACCTATCAATGTTGACAATGAATTTGTGATTCGAGTTTGTTCAGTTATCAGTTGTTGAAGATTGTATGTTTCAGCAATATCAATGAGCAACCTTGAACTATATGTTCCAAGACTGTAGAGCTTAAATCACAATTCAGGTCACCCACTAGATAGTACTCAATATTTTCAGCATCAAGTTTGCCCAGTAACGTTTCTAGGTGATTAAACTTTTCCACAACCGAATTTGGTGGCCTATACCATGTCACTATGAGAAAAGGCTCATGCAGTTGGATCTAGGTTTATTGATTGAAATGTATAAATTTTCAAATCGTATCGTACCGAAAAATTAATGCAACTTCGTATATAAAAACAAACACCACCACCGCATCTACCGTTTAAGTTTCTATCGCGGCGAACAATTTCATAACCATGTATGTGCACTTCATTATCGCTGACCGCAGAATCAAGCCTTGTCTTATTGATAGCCAAAACATCAATCATATTATCGGCTAGAAAAATTCGAAGTTGCTCAATGTGTTTTACTAAACTAGTTATATTAAGCGACGCAATTTTGAAACCACTCATCTTAGGTAAAAGCGGATTTACGTCGCTATTAGCATTAGAATTGACTGCATTCGCATTATAAAGAGACTCAGCAACATTATACGTTATAAGTCATAGTGAGCATCACCCGTGACTAGATATCTCAAAGTATAACTGAGAGCCTTTCGTCTGGAGGAATTGGTTCTCGCATTCTGGTGGACTTTTTTTATTAAAGAAGCGACCCAGGTCAATAGCAGCTCAAAAGTGCCGGGCGACATCCTAAAGAGCCGAAAGAAGTGTTCTGGGTCGCCAAGCATCAATCCTTCACAACAATGTGATATTCGCTTTTCGCCTGTCGTTCTTCGTATATTTTCCTCACCCAGAATCTCTTCCTATATTTTAAGCGCTGCCTTCTCTTTCTTAAAAGCAACAAAGTAAGTATTTTGCGCCTTAAAAACTATTGTATGTTGAAGGCAGACATTTCCTGTTTACTTGTTTTGTTACTTTGTCGCTTGTTCGCGCTCGCTTATTGGCCGCTCGCTGTGGAGATTGCAAACATTCATCGCGTGAACTGTTCGCGCGAAAAAAATCGCGTCGCGCGAAAAAATTCGCCTAGTGGAAACCGGGCTTTACATAATTATAAGGCTCGTGCGGGACAGTTCATTTTAGAGAATTAGAGAAAATACAAGTACGAGCCGCCAAACATATGAATTGGATTGCCAACGCCAACAGTAGACGTTTTTGCATAAATTGGGAATCACTTAATGATATTTTCTCTTATAGGTTGTTATACCCTGTTGCTTATAAATGTTATTACGATCACTTGACTATCCCTCTTTATTCTTATTTAGAAAAATACCGTTGTAATTATGATTTGAGAAGAAAAGTCAATTTCTTACTACCTGGGCCAAAAACTGATTTCTTAAAAAAACTCAATCTTCTGTCAAGCTGGTGTATCTATTATGGAACTTATTATAGACAACAACTTGACAACAACACAAGAGGCATAAACGCTATAGAAACATGTTAAAACGTGAAACAAAGAAACTATCTTAGTATACTATAGCTAGCTATAGCTTATATACAGTAGAGTTAACAGACTTACAATAGATAAGGAAAAATTTAATATTATAATTTATCTAGATATATTTAATGCTTATATCAGTTATATAGGTATAAATGCACGTTGTGAAATTTCTGCAGCCAGGTTTGCAATCGACATTGTACTGCAGACCGAATTTAGAGTATATAGGTTTTATCGTTACCTGCATTGATTATTTTTCATCTTATCCAGAAGTAGTGATTGTTTCAGATATTTCAAAGCAAAATGTTATTTATAGTGTTTAGTTTGCATGCAATTTTTATCGTTATGGATGCAGAGAGAAAATATATTCTGATAGTGGGAAGCAGTTGAAAGTAGTGAACTTCAGGTTTGCGGAATTACACGCACAAAGTGTAGTCCATAATTATTACCTTCAAATTGCGCAATTATATACTGTAAGTATATTTAAAAAATGAAAATCAACAATTGCGAAAGTTAATAATGAAAGTTTCATTATAGGTGCAATACATATGATTTATCGTGCAAGTCCACACATAGTTATATAGGGAACATTCATGCATTATTTATGACCGGCGGTGGGCTGGAAATTTCAATTAATAACAAAAAAATGTCTTCCCCCCCCCCACATCACAAAAAAATTTAATGACCCCTTCACATGAATTCTAAAAAATAGTACCCCCTCCCCCCCCGCCCACCAATGTATACGTAGACACATGACCAGGCATCAGATCTACATTTTCTTGTGCTTTCAATAATATGCCTATTTAATCAGAACAAACTCTGCTAAGCCAAACTTTAGACTGGCCAGAAGAATTTTGATAAAAAATTCTGACCTAAAAATTAGAATCCAGTTTCAGTGTATTTTCTACACTGCAAAGTATATTTTCTACTATAGTACACATTATGTACTTAATACTAAATTAAACCATGTATAAAATACCTAGTGTATACTAGTCTATATAGTGTACGCCAAACTCGCTGTCGACGTAATGTTGCTACAGTGCCATAGGAAGCTCTTCTTATTGGGGAGAGGGAGGGAAAGGACTGAAAACGGGGGCAAAGGCCCGAGGACATTTTTATATTTAGAGTCTCTGAAATGCCATTTCCTGGACTTTGGGGAAGATTTGACAGAATTTTGATGAACAGAAAACAGCGTTTCAGCGTGTCGAAATTTGCAATTTGTTTACAATTGAGTAGTTATTTATTTATTTATTTATTGAATTTGTCACCATACAAAAAAAAAAGAATTACATTGACGAAGATAACTATGTGACAGGAGAACGGAACAGGACTTTCGTCCCACTTGAAACCTAACCCCTTACAATATACGCAATATACTATTTGTCTTTACTCAACAATATACATTGTACTTTTGTATATATTTATATACACATATTTGGAAACGACTATAATGACAAAAAGAAGTTCAGGAATGACTATAATTAGCCGGAACAACCAGGAGGACTGTATGTTGATAACTTTGTAATGTACAAGTTAATTAGGGTAGACTTGAATGCAGGTAGCGAGTGGTAGACCGGTAGACTTTAAGGTATGAGGGCAGACAGTTCCATAGTTCGGCTGATCTAATAAAAAACGATTTTCTGTAATAATCTTGTTTATGTTTAATGATTAGATTGTAATTGTTAATATCATAATTCCGAGATCTATATTTTGGCTCGAAAGTACAAAGGAAATCATTGACATCAGTGGAAATCAGTCCTGCTCTGGATTTAAAAAGAAGCATCAAATCGGCAATATCTCTTCGAAATTCAAGGGGAAGAAGATTGGTTCTGGCAAGTTTCTGTGTATATGACATGTCCGGAGGATAGTTCAGTATAAATTTAGTTGCCAGCCGCTGGACGTTTTCAGTTAGGGAACGATACTTAACTGTATACGGTGACCACAAACTACTGGCATACTCAAGTTTTGGCCGCACAAGAGCACAGTACAACAATTTTCTGACTTTCAGATCAGGGAGTTCTTTACATACCCTTTTAACCAGACCGAGCGTTTTATTAGCCTTGGCCACAATACTTTCAATATGCATTGACCACGACAAATCATTTGACACAGTGACACCAAGATCCATAATGAAAGGGATAGAATTCTGGAAATATCCTTGGATAGAATTCTGCTCGGAATACCATCTGGTCCACACGCTTTATTGGGGTCTAAATTACGAAGCACCGCAGCAACTTCGGAGATTGTAAGATTGATATCAGAGAGTTTGATACAAGAAGATTCCATTGAAGTAGAGAGCGTTGAAGGTGGATCTACGTTGCCAGGGCTAAAAACGGAGTGGAAAAATTTGTTGAATAAGTTTGCTTTGATGCGGCTGTCGGTCGTAAAGGATTGTCCATTTCGAATAAAATTTGGGCTCTGTTTTGTTTTGGTCGAAGATTTCAGAATTGACCAGAAACGTTTGGGATTTTCAAACATTGAATCTTTTAGTTTATTGGCGTGATCACATTTTTTCTTGGAGATAAGCTTTTTTGTTTCGCGTCAGATTAACCTACTGAATTTCTCTAAGTCATCAGGGTGATTTGTCCTTAGCAGCTTTTTTCTTTGCTTGTTTTTCTTTTTGATGAGCTCCAGTATTCAGGAGCTCATTATGATCAGTATTCAGGATGTCCTCAAAACCTTGAACATTTATGACTTTATCGGGTAAATTGGTAAAAACTAAATCCAGGATGTTATCGGATCTAGTTGGAAAGTCAATGAGCTGATATAAGTAGTTGTCTTTAATAGTTTTAGTGAAATAGTTGTGAATACAGTCGTTGTTGGTAGCTGAACCGGTAGACCAATCAATATGTGGAAGGCTGAAGTCTCCGCAAACGACTAAGTGGTCAAACGTTGCTTTGATGGCAAGTTGAAGTGATTTCTTAAGTTCTTTTATGTGGTTTATGTCAGTGTTAGGCGGCCAGTAGAATGCAAGAAGCAAAAACTTTTTCTTAGATTCAAGACGGATTTCGCAAGCCACAATTTCCGCATTTTCGCTCTCAAGATCTTTCCTTCGGATGCTAAGCATGGTGTTTCTGACAGCTAACATTACTCCATCCCCGCTCCTGCCAACTCTGTCTTGACGGTGAATAGCAAAGTCGTTTCCGGGTAAAAGTTCACAGTTTAAAATGTCGCCAGATGTCGTTTAAGCCAGGTCTCCGTTACAGCGATTATGTCAATGTTAGATGCTAACGTTTGAAGTTCTTTGGTCTTATTAGATAAACTTCTGGCGTTAAAGTATAAACATCGGATATTATATCTGTTTGAATTTTGATCGTTACCAGCATTGGGATCATGGGTAATGGTCGGACCTGGATTAGATGCAATATCCATATAAATGGCAATATCAATGTAACAGTCCGGCGAACTGCGGCAAATGTAGCCATGTTTAAGCCAAGTCGAGATTTTGGGAGAGTAGATTGAACCTGTTCGTTTCTTTTTTACTATCCTGAGTGACAAGGGGATTAGGGGAAGTGCATCAAGACAGGGGTATTTGGACTTGTTTAATGAATTTTTTATGGAGAATCGTTGGAATTGTAAACGCTAGAGTACTCATCGTATCAGTCAAATTGAAGGGTAAAGGGTTTAAAGATGGGATTGAAATATCTTTTATGGCGTGATCTTTTATACGAGTGGTTCTTATATCTGAGACAGTTGAAGCATTATCTATACAACCAGTAAATAGGCAGATGACCAGAGATAGCATAGAGTAGTAGCTTCGATTTATCGTCATGATGAGTTATTGTAGCCAAAGTTTGGCATTTCGCCTTGCACTTGAAAGTGTTATGTGATTTCAGGTTACAAAGGTCAGAGTTCAGAGACGTAACCAAACTAGACAAACACCAGCAGTTAATTAAAATTCCACAGCGTTGTTATATGGGAAATCCCCTGATGAAATTTGTACAATTGACGGTTGGAAAAGTACAAAACCCGTTGTAGTTTAAAATCTAGTTAAGACGTATACACTTGAAAACTTGCTGGAGATGATAATATCTATATACTGACCTACTTTCAGCTACGAATATACATTAAGTCCAAAGATATAAGAAAAGTTAAAATCCCGGGAGTTAGTTATATTAATTCAATATAATAGAATACACGACGCCACACTACAAACAGCGGAAAGACAAATGTTTAATTCCAAAGTTGACAAAACAATACCAAAATGTAGCGAATAATAAGAACAATATATAAATCCAAAGTAGAAGAAAATTGGAAATACGTAGAACCAAGATACGCAGCCGTAAAGTTGTTGCCTAGGAACGCGACGTGGCAAATTCAAATTTAAAGCACCAACGGTCAAAATAATAATACTTTAATAAAACACGAACAAGGTAGCCAAATTTGACCAAATTAACACGCGAAAGTTATAACACCATTGGTAGAATACGTAGCAAGTTATATACGAATACGACAAATAAATCCAAAGATATAACGAGCAATATCCAAAAGTTCACCTTCGCAAAATGTGACGCAACAATAATGTACACAATACGATAATACGATCCAAAATAACTTTACTCCACAATATAAATCCAAATCCAAAATGCGAAAAATAGATGCACAAAGTCTTTAGCTTTAATCTAATAATATATGTTGTACAAAAGCTTAAGAAAATACTTATTTATGCTCAAAATAAAACGGAGGTCTCTAATCCGTAATTTTTGTCTAGATCAAAATTTAGTCTCAATTTAGTCTCAATTTAGTTCTAAATGGGCGAAGGCGCATTTAATTAACTATATATTGGATAAGTTACAGGAAACTATGGGTAATATCTTCATTCTTTGCAGTTTGTCATGGATAAAGTAGTACGGCCCTGTACTATACAATGCTTACTCGTTATCGTGAGTGTCTTTTTTATTAAAATTTACATCAGGGAAACATGACAAATATTTATGGCAAGTTCATGGCAAAGTTATAAGGTAGATGTTCGATTGTTTATCATATTAGCTGCACGCATTGCATATTGGGTATTTGCGCATTCCATTTTCGGTCTATCGGTGTTGATTAAAATTGAGAATTTCGCTAAGTACATGAATTAAATTTGCTGCCTTGCTCGCCCTAGCTCTGCGGTAGCAATAATCGTTACATGTCAAATTTTTCCCCACTATAATAAAATAACTGGACCCCCTTCTCTACTAATATTTTTAGGTGCCCTCCTCCCTTTTCGGTCAAAAATACCTCATT